ATATCTGCCTTGCTTGAACCGTGCCCTGGATTTAATCATGGGCAGTGAACCTCTCCACCACGCCCCCCTGCCCCCAATCAAGAGAAAAACCCTGTATTTATGGAAATCAACATACTTCTACCACTCCTTTTGAAAGTGTCAGAAGCAGGGAATTTGTTATAACATCTTTATTTTTATTTATTTATTTTTCATTTTTTCATTTCATCATCCTGTTATTCGTCGATTGCCTCAAGCAGGCCCCAGTAACGTCTCTTTCATCCTAGCCCTGAGATTATATTCAAGGCTATTTAGGAGAGTGAGACCCATCATTGTTACTGGTATTTGGCATATTTGGTACGCCACGGGGAGTTTGCCAGACTCTATTTATTTATTTATTTATTTTAATTAGTGAAACACCATGAGGTACAGTTGTAGACTTACAAATTGTTGTGCTTGGGTTTCAGTTATACAATGATCAAGTACCCATCCCTCCACCAGTGCCCATCCTCCACCACCACGGGTCCCAGCATCCCTCCCCCCCCCCCCATCTCCCCCCTCCCACCCTGCCTCTGTGGCAGGGCATTCCCTTTTGTTCTCTCTCTCTCCTTTTGGGTGCTGTGGTTTGCAAGAGAGGCATTGAGTGGCAATCATGTTTGGTCCATAGTCTACTTTCAGCATGCTTCTCCCATCCTGGGAGGATCCTCCCAACACCCTTTATTTGGTGCTCCATTCTCTCTTTACATCTGTAACATCTTTAAAACGAGTCAGAAGCCTCGTTTCTCCCCGGAACCCTTAGTAAGGTTGAATTCTTCCAGGATTGGAAATCCTGCAAACCCCTGCCCTGCCATGTGGCTTTCCACCCGGCCTGTGTACTTCTCAGAAAATGTTTACTTAAAGTCCACAAGGAAAAGAACAACAGTTTATAGTTGGAGATAAGAGTCACTAATCTCACTGGACTATCTTTTTGTTCTTCCAACCCCAGAGGGAGGAACAGGCTCGAAAACCCAGCATTCTTTCCTGTAATAAAGCCTCACGGGGTGCCTGTCCTGGCTGGTGAGGGGAGCCACGCAGCGTGGCCCACTGGGGTGCACTCGGGACAGCCACGCACCAGAGGCACCGGGACTCAGGAGAACCGGCCCAGGGGAGGCCCGGGAGGCGTCCGGGAGAGCATTCCAGAAGCCAGGAATTCCCCGTGCGTGCGTGAGGAGTTGTGGGCAGGCACGTCATGTAGAAAACTGGGATGTGATTTTCAGATGGTTGATGTAAAAATGGCACGGCAGAAAACTTGGCAAAATGTTTATGCTTTTTCATCTGTCCTAAGATACTTTTAGAAGCACTACTACTACGGTTAAGCAAAGCTGAATGATCAACATTTTCCACACGGCCTTTAAAAGCAACTCGAATCTCTTATTTTGGGCACTTCGAGAATATTGATCGTTCTCCCTAGTGAAGTTTCGTGCATACGTAGCCCCCAGAGCACTTCCCTCCACCAAGGCCCCCAAGAGCCTTCCCACCCCCAGGTAAGATCAGTTCTAAGGATCCACAGGTTAAAATCTCTAAGGACCTTGAGAAAGATCTTTCACTTATTTATTTTTTCTGGTGTGTTTATTTTAGGGCCACACCCACAATGTGCAGGGCTCCTGGCTCCGCACTCAGGAATCACTCCTGGCGGTGCTCAGAGGGGCATATGGGATGCCGGGGCCAAACCCAGGTCAGCTTCATGCAAAGGCAAGTGCCCCACCCGCTGTGCTATCTCTCTGGCCTCAACAGAGGTCTCTGGTCAGGAGTGGGCTGGGTAGGTGCTTGCGCTAAGCACTAATGTTTATCATGGAATAGTCCAGCAATTCTTTCATTTCTGAACTATTTTGAATGTTCCACAACTACTGAATTCAGCCAAGCATGAGAACACACGCCCACACACACACTGACATGCATATGTAAGTGTGAAACTTCAGACAGTGGAGCTGAAAAGAAAAAAAAATATGCTTCAAAATAAACCATCAGGGGCACCTAGAATCGTATTACAATGACTCCTAGAAGTGACTCTGTAAGCGCAAAAGGACCCAAAGTCGTGTTAACTTTGACATGGAAACCGCAACCAAGCACATATGATGGATTAGCTTCCATTAACTATTTTTTTTTCATGTCCCTTTTGAAATCTATGGAGAGAGGGGAGGAGTTTCTTTTCCAAGACTTGATCCTTTAATTAACATTAAATTTATGCCTAAGTTCACCGTGTGACTGTAAAATACAAGCTTCCAAGGTTGCTAATAGAAGCCAAGACAATGCGCCATAGCCTGGGAGAGCGCAGGGCTCAGAGGGAGTCTGCACTTACAGCTGAATTCAGCAGTCTCCGGAGTAATTATTAGCAGCGAGGAACCGATGATTCTTGTAAAATATGCAGTTACTGATTAACTTTCTTGAGCAGTGCAGGCCCGTCCCATTAAAGGAAAGGCTTTCCTTCTAAAAGGAACCAGCAGTTCCTACTGTGAACAACCAGTGGAATTTTTGGCTCTTGGGGGCTTTTATTTAATTAATTAATTAATTAATTTATTTATTTAAGGGAATTGGTAGAAAACGGTTAAGCCACCTTCTGGACCGTGCAGAGGGAGGCACTCGGCTAAGAGCCAGCCCCATGGGTGCTTCTCCGCTCTTGACGGCTGGGCAACAAGAGGCATCTCTGATGGTACCAGACACTGCGGTCACGTCTCACCCATTACAATCTGCCCAGCCCAAACTCAGACCATTCAGAAGCTGGTCCAGGCAAGGAGGGAGTCTGATGGGGAAACTGGGCAGGAGGACTTTGACACAATGCTCACGGAGCTAGGGGACTAGGAACCTAGGAAGGTACTTTTTTATTTAATTTATTTATTTATTTTTTGCTTTTTGGGTCACACCTGGCGATGCACAGGGGTTACTCCTGGCGGTGCTCAGGGGACCATATGGGAGGCTGGGAATCGAACCCGGGTTGGCCGCGTGCAAGGCAAACGCCTTACCCGCTGTGCTATCTCTCCAGCCCCTAGGAAGGTCCTTTATCAACAAGAGCTTCTTTGGGGCCAAAGAGATGGTACAGTGGCTATGGCCCTCATGGCTCACAGATCCGGCCTGGGTTCCATCCCCAACATCCCTGTGTTCATCTGCGCCCCTGCCAGGAGTGATCCCTGAGCACTGAGCCAGGAGTAAGCCCCGAACACTGCCAGGTACGGCCCCAAAACAAAGAAAGAGTATTTTCATTCTTGAATATACTGAAGAACTTGGCACCGGAGCAATAGTACAGCGGAGGGGGCACTTGCCTTGCTCGCAGCTGACCAAGGTTCAATCCCCGACATCCCATGGGGTCCCCTGAGCACCACCAGGAGTAATTCCTGAAAGCAGAGCCCAGGAGGAACTCCAGAGCATAGCCAGGTGCGACCCAAAAAGAAAAATAATAATAATAATAAAAAGAAAGAAAGAAAATTTGAAGCACCTGGGAAGCACCACCACGCTTCTACATCACAGTCACATACAATTTTCATCCAGGGGCGGAGGGAGAGCCGCTTAAAAGGCCAGTGCAGAGAAGCCCGGAGAAGCAGCTTTTAAGGTTGCAGGATGAGAGTAGCCCAGGACCTGTGATGAGTGACTGCCGGCATGCTTGGCAACGGACCACAAAGTCATATTCCTCAGAGACCCTGGGCTTGACCTTTGCTTCAGAAAGATCCATGCCAGGGCCAAGCAACAGCACAGTGTTTTGTTTTGTGCGCTGCAGACCCAGGTTCAATCCCTGGCTCCCCCAAATGGTCCCCTGAGCACTGCCAGGAGTTAGCCCAGAGTACTGCCGGGTGTGTCCCCCACCAGAAAAAAGAAAAGAAAAAGAAAAAAAAAAACAACAGGGTGCTGGAGAGAGTGCAGAAGGGCTTGCCTTGCAGGTTCAACTGTTGGCATCCCACTGGGTCGCCCGGGGGCACCGCCAGGAGCAATTCCTGCGTGCCAGGACTAACCCCCCAGCATTGCTGGGTGTCCAAAATCAAAACAAAAAATAATACTAAAATGTAAAAAAAAATAATAATAATAAGAAACCCACATGGAAAAGGCAGCTAGTGGCATCCACTGGCCAATGAGACCTGAGCCGGGGCATCATTTCGTCCCCACAGGCCACCCGTGCCCTGGAGAGGTAGGGGGGCCACTCCAGAGTCAATCAGGACCAAGAGGGGCAGAGCCGGCAGGGTTGGCCGCGCGCCGCTGCTCCGGGTCGGGTCGGACGCCCCGGCACCGCCCAGGTGTGGACCCTCCAACACACACGCGCACACAATTTCTTAAAAACTAACAACCACCTGCACACCGGGGGCACGGAACTGGAGTGTCCTGATTCTGTCCGAGGGGCGTCCCCGGGACCCCAACGGCCACGCGAGTCTCAGGGGGCCGGCACCCAGAGAGAAGGGGCGCAGACCCGGGGAGGGGGGACGGCGCAGACCCCACAGGCCCTTGGCCACTGGGCGGGGGGCCCCCTCCGCGGGGCGCCGGGCTGGGGCCCCGCTCCGGGTCCGTGGCCCGGCCCGAGTCCAAGTCCGGTCCCGCCACGTCCTCGGGGCCGGACGCCAGCGGGCACCCCAGTCACGGGCAAAAAGGTGGCCCCCAACCGGGGGTCCGGGGATGCGGGGGGCGCTCGGCGGCGTCCCGCAGCGGCCAGGGGGGGAAAGCTGCCAGGGTCGCCCCCCGCCAATGCAATAATAAATCAGTCCTAACGATACCGCCCCCTCCAACAATAATAACGCCCCCTCCGATAATAATAACGCCCCCTCCGATAATAATAACCCCCCTTCCAACAATCCCGTCCCCTCCAATAACCCCCCCTCCAATATCAATGACGCCCCCTCCAACCCTAAGACCGCCCCCGCCCCCAATAGCGACCTACGAAGGCGGCGGTGCCAGGTCCACCCCCCGCGCCCCCCGGCCCCGCGCAAGGCCTGGCCGCGGGGGTGGCCGCGGGGTCCGGCCGGGGGGTCCGGCGGGCCCTCCCCGCCCGCGGCCTGCGCGCCCCTCACCTTGGTGGCCATGGTCGGCGGCTGGACCCGCGGCCGCGCGCGCGGAGCTCGGCCCGGCTGGACTCGCTGGGCCCGGCGGCGGCGGCGGCGGCGCCTTCGGCCCGGTCTCGGCCCGGCGTCGGCCCGGCCTCGGCCCGGGGTCGGTCCTCGCGGTCCCTCTCGGTCCCCGTCGGCCCCCCGCGGCCCCTCGCGGCCCGGTCTCGGCCCTCCCGGCCCGCTGCGGCCGCTCCCCGCGGTCCGGCCCGCGCTGGCTCCGAGTGGCCGCCGCGCGCGGCTGCAGTTCCTGAAACTCGGCGGCGGCCCCCGCCCCTGCCCGGCCGCCCAGGGACCGCGGCTGGCGGCGGCCGGCGGAAGCGCGCCCCGGCCCGGCCCGCCCGGCCCGGCCCGCCCCCGGCCCGCCCGGCCCGCCCGGCCCGCGCCCTTTGTTCCGCCCGCGCGCGGCGCCCTCCAAGCCCGGGGGGCGCCCCGGAGGGGGTGGCGCGGCGCGCCCCCAACCCCTCCGGCCCGCGGGGGCCTCGGCCGGGCCGCCGGGCGCCGCGCGGAGGCCGCGTGGAGGACACGGCCCCGCGCGCCGGCTCCCGGGCCCTGGGCCCGGCTGGCCCCGAAGCCCCGAAAGGCAGCAGAGAGGACAGAGAGAGAAAAAAAAATATTTTTTAAAAAATCCCTCCGGGTCCCCGAGGCCTGGGAGAGACACAACAGGTGTCCGGACTGGGAACGGGGACGTCTGAAACGGGCCACTGCTTAAAAACAGAACTGTTTTCCCCGACCGGGTTGGAAACATGAATTTGACGACTTCGGGAGGGTTCTCAGATTTTCACGCAAGTACAAATGAACCACGTGTTTGGAAGATCGAGCTGCCGCTTCCTTTCCCCTCCCCCGCCCCCCAGATCGTTGGGTTCATTAATACATAGTGGCGAAGTGACTCGTTGTCCGCTGATGTCATAGCCTGCCCGTGGTGAAGCATCCTTCCTGGTGATTTTCATAAATCAGTGAATCAGTGGGCTGAGCCGTTGTAGCGTTGGAACATGGTTTATATGAAACTCCGGCTTTGAGTCTTTAGATACTGTAAATCACCGTGCTGGAAATGATGCTTTTTATTTGATTTCTTTTTTTTAAAAAAATGAATCACTGTGAGATACAGTTACAGACTTACAAACTTTCGTGATTACATTGCGGTTATAGAATGATCTAATACCCATCCCTCCGCGGTGCCCATTCTCCACCACCAATGTTCCCGAATATCTCTCCCCCCACCCCCGGCCCCCACCACCCCCCCACATTCCCTCTCTCTCTCCCTTTGGGTGTTATACAGGTTTGCAATACAGGCACTAAGCGGCCATCATGTTTGTCCATAGTCTACTTTCAGCCTGCATCTCCCATGAAATGATGCTTTTTATTTTATTGATTTATTTGTAATGAATCCTAGTGAGATACAGTTACAGACTTAAAAACTTTTGTGATTACATTTCAGGCATACAACGATCGAGTACCCATCCCTCCACCAGTGCCCATTCTCCACCACCAATGATCCCAGCATCCCTCCCGCCACCTCCATCCCATCCCCTCACTCCACCCCCCCCAATGGCGGATGCATTCCTTCCCTCTTGCTCTCTCTCTGCCATCATGTTTGGTCCGAAGTCTACTTTCGGCATGCATCTCCCATGAAATGATGCTTTTAAATAAATGAATCAATGTCAGTCACTTAGTCTCTTCCCTCTGCAAATCCTAGTGTTTTTTTTTTCTGTCCTCGTTTACCTGTTAACTGTTACTCTCCCTTTCTTCCTTCACCCCACTCCACCTCTTTTATTCCTTCATCCTCAGTTCCCATTTACACAGTAGAATCCCAAAGGTGGCAGAGTCATCGCTCCACCAAAAAGACCCCTCTGCTCTGCCCACCCCCACCCCTTGACTCTGGTAACCCCCCTAGTTTTACCAGGAGGCTTTTATTGGGCTTTGGTTTGTTTCTGTTCCACCTAGAAGAGAAGCTGTCTGGTAATTGTCTTTCACTTCCTGACACAGTCCTCTGAACACCCGGCACCTTTGTTCCATCCCCTTTCCCCTCCTGAACAGCACAATTTCATCCCTTTGAATGCAGAGCAGTTACCCTTTGAGTTTGTGGGTACCACAGCTGCTTTCTCCGGTCCTCTGAGGGTGGGTATTTAGGTTGACCCCAGGTTTTGGCACTGTGAATAACGTGGAGGAGGGGTCCAGATGGCCCTTTGAATGAGTCTTTTCAGATTCCTCAGATAAGGCCCAGGAGTGGGATTACTTACTCACCCGTCTTTGGAAGACAGTGCTTCACTGAAAAATCAATCCAGCATCTATTACGTTAATCTAGTTTAGGTAACGGCTACAAAGCGTTAACATCTGTGGTTTTGATGTTTGAGGTCACTGCACCTTTTTTTCACCACCACCCAAATTCCCAAGACCTTCCCCCACTGTCCTTGTGTCACTTCTGGTTTGTGTCCTTCCCAGGCCCCTCCCCCTCGCCCTACACACACACACACACACACACACACACACACACACACACACCCCAGTCTCCTCCTCACCCTTGCTGAGACTAGCAATCTCAGTCCGGCAATCAAAGGCCAAGGGTTGATGTTCATCTGATTCTTTCTCTTGTTTTCTCTCTTGATGCTGCAGTTGAATGAGATCATCTGGTATTCGTTCTCCCTCTGACCTATTTTACTTAACACAGTGCCCTCCAGTGCCATGCACATTGCAGCAAATGTCATGATCTCATTCTTTCTTACAACTGTAATCTCCCGTTGTGTAGATACATCATGTCTTTTTCCATTCATCTGTCATTGGACATGTGGGTTGGTTCTCTCTCCTGGCTATTGTGCCTAGCACTGCAACAAACATGGCTGTGCATAGGTATAGTTTCAAATTTAATGTTTTTGCGTTTGGAGGATAGACGTCGTTGCTGGGTCATATGGGGACTCTAGCAGCCATACTTGTTTTCCACAGAAACTGAGCCAGGCGGCTTTCCCAACAGCTGGGAACGGGGCTTCCTTTTCCCCCACAACCCTGCCCAGACCTGTTGTTTGCAGTCTTTTTTCTATATGCCATTCTCATTGGTATGAGATGAAATCCCTACTAGCTGTCTTTTTTTTTAATCACTGTGAGCTAGTTACAAAAGTTTCATTTGAGTTTCAATCATTCAGTCATACGATGATCGAACACCCATCCCTCCACCAGTGCACATTTTCCACCACCAATGTCCCCAGTATCCCCCCCCCCACTCCCCTCTCCCTCCCTCTATGGCAGACAATTTCCCTTTCTACTTATGAGGGCTGGAGCGATAGCACAGCGGGTAGGGCGTTCGCCTTACACGCGGCCAACATGGCCGACCCGAGTTCGATTCCTCCGCCCCTCTCGCAGAGCCCGGCAAGCTACCAAGAGTATTCGATATGCCAGACACAGTAACAACAAAGTCTCCAATGGAGATGTTACTGGGCCCGCTCGAGCAAATCGACGATCAACGGGAGGGCCTTTACCTTACCTTACCTTACTTATGAGTATTATGGTTTGCAATACAGATAATAAGAGACCATCATGCTTGGGCCTTTTCCTACTTTCAGCACACGTCTCCCATCCCGAGCGATCCCTCCAACCATCCTTGACTTAGTGATCCCTTCTCTATCCCAGCTGCCTTCTCCCCCAGCTCATGAGGCAGGCTTCCAAATGTAGAACAATCTTCCTGGATCTTGTCTCTACTGTCCTTGGGTGTTAGTCTCAGATTATGATATTTCACATTTCACAAGTGAGTGCAGTCATTCTATGTCTGTCCCTCTCTTTCTGACTCATTTCACTTAGCATGATACTCTCCTGTATCTCTTATCTGTATTTGTTTACTTGATTTTATTTTGGGGCCAAACACAGTGATCAGAGTTTATTCCTGGCTCTGTGCTCAGGGATTACTCCTAGAAGTGCTCAAGGAACCATCTCTGGAACCAGGATAAAACGGGGTCAGCAGCATGCAAGGCAAGCTTCTTACCCTATACGATATCTCCTGCTCCATATGTTTTCATTTTACTATCGGCAATGTGTATGTTAAAAAGTGAACTACCACTACAAATCAACTTGATTCAGGTAGGAAAACATTGAAGTTAATATCAAATGTGAGTTACTTCAAAAATTTTCTCTTTGGTCTCCAGAGATTCAACTAGTTACATCCATCAGTGGAGTTCCATTTCCCATTTAAAATGGACATAGTAAATAAATAAATAAATAAATAAATAAAATGGACATGGTTCCTCAGAACTTCCTGTAAATCTTTGTGTTTGCTGAATTCATGGCAAAATCAGAGCCATCTAAACATTTGTGAACCCTATTGTTCTGAGTAAGAGGATACCGCTCCCTGGATGCATCCCTGTAGGAAGCCTGTAGCCCCTGTAGGAAGCGGCAGACACTCGCTACTGTCCTGTTTGCAGACATGAGGAAATCAAGGTTTCTTTCCATAGCCAGGCTAATCTGGTTATAACAAAATTGAAAATGACTATTGGACTTAGCATCTTGACTTTCAGGAATGTATTCTGCTGGCATATTCACATGAGTGAGATGCTCTGTAATGCATTACTCTGCAATATCCATGAACTGGAGGCAACCAATGTTAGCAATAGGACGATTTCAATAAATATGGCACTGAAACCATCTTACAAATTCAAGACCAAGTAGCCTAATAAAAAAAAGAAGTAAAGAAAAAAAAAGGGTACTATCTGGACCAGAAAGATAATACAGAGGATAAGGTATTTGCCTTGCATGTGGATGGCCTGGGTTCTATCTCTTGTGGTCCCTAGAATCTTCCAGAAGAGATCTCTGAGCATAGAGCCAGGAGTAAGCCTGAATACTGCCTGAATACTGAACACTGCTGAATACTGCCAGGCGTGGCCCCAAAACAAACAAATCAAGTGGTTATTATCTTCAGTTATTAATAAAGGCGAAAAGAAGACGAATCATGTGATTTATTTCTGGAAAAATATGAACATCTCGCTATGTTTAGAAAATCCCTGAGATTCATCAGATGCTATTGTCAGATTTATTAAAAATCTACATGTATTACTTATATGTATCATAGAATTTTTTTTTTTTTTG